GATAAAGTACGAGATCCCCACGAGCCGAATGTTGGTGGATGTTTTTGCCATGCTGCGGGGGCATCAACCTCGCACTGCAGTGGAAAGCAAAGGTGATTCACCTGAAGATAGATACATTATGCGGAAAGTCAAGTGTATGAACCAAGGCTGCCACCAAGATGCTGGTCAGGCACTGACTTAGCACGTTTCCACATCTGGCCTCAGAATATGAGCTGAATATTGATGTAGCATTGGTTAAGCCTCATGATAACCGGGCTGGTCAGAGTTTCCAGAGCGGCTGTTCAGTAGGGAATGTCAATCCATAGATCCTGCCCCGGTGCATTGGAAGCCAGGCAGGCTTTCTGTACATGATAATTGGAACAGAGTAGGAATGCTGATAGTTTGTCATTTGTAGGCCATTGTAGTGCCAAAACTCCACCAATATCATTCAGCAGTTGGAGACAATCTTTTTCGAAAGAGGACGGCTGATTGAACTGCTTGCTGACAATGCTGCAGTGTTTTGTGGGCAAAGATTCAGAAGACTTGCAAAAAATTAGGGTATCCAGATAAGATACCGATGCATCCACATACCATCAGGGAAAGGGATAGTAGAAAGATCCCACCACGCGATAAAGCGCATCACTGCAAGAACACAATGCTCTCTTATGGAGACAGTATACTGGCATAATGTGGCACCACAGGACAACACCACTGCTTCAACAGCACCAGCCAACTTAATTTATACCTACCACACTCGCGTGAAGAGCACTGATACCACACCACCACCTGATGGTGCAGATTCTGAAACATACACTACAGATGTTTGGGTGAAGAGACGGCATGGGCAATGTACAACAAGGTTCAAAAAGGGGAAAGTGATGAAAGTCTATGGCCCTCATTCAATCCTTGTAGATGGAGTACCATGCCATATAAAAGATATTTGCCAGGTGTGTGGGGTGGAGACTACCAGCAGCCATGATACCCCCTCAGATGCAGAAACCTCTATGGTATATGAGAGGCAGATGCAGGAAGACAACTTCAACGGAAAGTGCAAGTGGCATCCCCGAACGAGAGATCAACTCAGTGATACAGCAGAGGAAAGTACAACTGAGGAAATAGCTGACCCCGCTCCACTGAGATGAAGTAGCAGGATAAAGTGACCCGCACCATGCTGCTATTTATGTGATCCTCAGAGCAGGGAGAAGTGTGACTCTCGTGAGCAAGATACACAACATCATGCCCAAAAACGCCCACACATTGCATGCGTATGGCGTTGCAGAGCAGTTGAAGGAAGGGAGAATTGGCGGAGTGTGCCTAAGCATATGTAAAACTCACCCACTCAACCAATCGGCTGCTTCATCATGGTCTATAAAATGAGTGGTCTGAAGGCTTTGGCAGTTGAGGCCGAGAGAGCCGACGAGAGACAACTGCGCTGTTCCAGCAGGTCCTTTTTGGCATGATGGCTACAGAGTATCATCAAGTGCAGTCACCAAAATTGTCATTCCTGTGTGGGTCTGTGCATCCACAAGAGCAACAGCACTGCCACCACCAGCTGAAGCAAAACACTTCAGGTGTAGACCCATGGTTTCTCAAGGCTGATAGATGCCACACACATGCAGAAAAATTGGGATAAGGGATTTTCATAAGACTTCTGGCAATAGTGCCTGTCAGGTAAATTTCTCAAACTATGTTCATTATGTCACAAAATAATCTACAGGGTGATTGAAAAGTAATTTCCTATTTTAAAATAATTATAAATTATTTAGTATAATTTTTGTCTCAAGGTTTTGTGTTTGATCTTTAATGTGTGAGAATTTAATCTGTATCTGGCTTTTCAGATTGATTATTTTGTTTACAATTTGGAAGGCCTACAAACATGGCTGAAAAACTTACCCTGCAGGTGTGTACCTAGGTAGCAGCACATTATGAAGTTTGGAAATCCGCTGTTCAAGTGCAAAGATGGTGGTGGACCATTAGAAAAGTACATGCTTAAGTTGATGCAAAGACAATCAAGAATTGTCAGACGAAACTCATGACTACAGAGTCTGCAGCTGATACTCAATGAAGTGGTCGCCCTTCCAAGTCCAGTGACCAGGAGACAATGCAAGCAGTTCAAAAAATGCTTACACATGGCCCAAGAAAGTCAATTCAACAAGCAGCAAGTAAAAATGGGCTCTCCTTCCACACAATACGAACTGTGTTCAAGAAGAGCTTAAATAGCATGCTTGGAAGCTGCACTGTTGCCACTCATACTCTGCTGAAGACTGCAACATTCACATGAAGCTTGGAGAAAATATGCTGGCTTGGCATAAGATTTGTCAGATCTCTTTAAAAATATCCTCTGGAATGATGAAGTGGTATTTCACATTGATGGGTTTGTGAACCGTCACAACAACTGCTACTATTGGGCAAGTGAAGATCCTCTTGTTATATCTGGAAAAAATGCAGAATCAGCCCAAAGTAATGGTGTGGTGTGGTATAAACTTCAGAAAGGATTGTGGGTTCATTCATTCTTTGTGATACCATGAATGCCAAAAGATACCTTACCATGCTTCAAGATGAAATCTGGCCAGTTATCAGTAGTTGGGAGAACATGAACTATTTGATTTTCATGCAAGATGGCACCTGCTCCACATTTTGGTATTGTCATTCATGAATGGCTGAATGGCCACTTTCCCCAGGAGACAGATGGGTCAACGTGGTCCGTATGAGTGACCAGCCAGAAGTCCTGACTTAACACCTGTGACTTCTTTTTTTCTTTGGGGTTGGTTAAAGGAACAAGTCTATTATACTAAACTAAAGACTTTATAAGAACGTGAAAGGTGAATATAAAAAGTTATGTCTTCCATCCCACAAGAGTTCCTGACATGATTCTTGGGCAGCTCGAGAAACTGATAGTGAAATCTGGTGCCCATATCAAGTTTTAAATAAAACTTGATGCAAAATGCTTTCCTCTAATATCCATTTCTTGTAAAAATTATAGTTTAATAAATAAATATTTTAAAATGGGGAGTTACTTTTCAATCGCACTGTATATTACAGGATAGAGATGCTGACAGTCAAAGTGAATGGACGTCTTTTACATTGATCCAGGAAAGCAGATTTTAAGAAAAAAAAAAAAAGAAAGGAAGTGACAATTTATTTACTTATCTGTTCATTCTTTTTATTATGAAATGTATTATTTATATTTATTAAAGTAGATATATTTAAAAAAAAAAAAAAAAAAAAAAAAAAAACGACACCGTTTTTACTCTATTCATTTCATTTTCTACAGCTTAACCCATTGCAGGTTATTTAAAGACAGAAAATATTTTTAAATTTTAAGAATTTTAGATTTGTTGGTAATAATGGTTTAGTGATACAAGTCTTACTAATTAACCCTTAGCTGGAGGGGGGAGAAGTGGATTTATACCTTTCCCATGAGTATTTGCGTGTACGTGAATATATCACTTGGGGAGGTGCAAGCTCAAATCCAAAGAACTGGAGAAGTGCAACAGTGATTGACCAAATTGGCAAATCACAATCCATGATGATGCTGTCACCTTCAAGGATGCTTGACGCCAGAAACTCACTGCTGCCAGAAATCAACGCCACAGGGCATTGTCAGCAGTGATTGCAACAACAAATTTTCAGTGTCCCCACTGTTCCAGATTCTGCACCTCCAGCCTGGGGTTAGGGAGCCACCTCCGAGTTCACACACAAGATGCAAAAACAATACATTATCTTCAAATTCAAAAGGACAACTGATAAATATAACAAACCCAACAGGAATTGGAACTCGGTTCTCCAAATTAACAATTCCAAGCCATTATTTATTACACCTCCCACACATTCAAGCTTACAGCACCTGGTATCCTAAAGCAGTCAGCCACCTGGATAGATGTTGCTTAACTTTGGTGATCATACAGGAACCAGTGTTTCAATGCAATGTGGACATAAGTCCAATATATTTTTAGTCTAAGCGACATACAAAAAAAAGGGGGGGGACTGTCATTTGACGAGCTTTATTTATTGCAAATATTTAAATATACAAAGTCTGGACAAGTCCAAACTAGAAATTCACACTGTACTGCTTGTTACACAAGTCAACGTGCACATTCTGCTCTGGTTCAGTGTTCAATAAGTTAGCTACAGAATATAATTGTTGCTAAATTTTTTTTTTTTAATTATGAAAATGTATTGCTGACACCTGCAGTATAAAATTGTATTTATCACACTTTCATAGTGTTTTGACCCCAGTTTAGGGTGGAGGGAATCACTATTTGCCTATAGCTAAAACCCAGACAGGTGCTACCACATCAGGCCAAGGTGGACCTAGAAACAGCAATTGAGAGGTGGTCCCATGCTCCTCAAAACCTCCCAATTAGAGGCCTTACTGCCAGATGTAGTTTATCATCATACCCAGGACTAAGAGAATGTACCATTGCTTGTAGCCCAAAGCTTTTGAAACACAAAAACCAAAACTGATACATCTACCTTCAAATTCTACACCCTGAATTCAGTCAAATGTTTGGAATGACACAAACAATGCAGTCATGTAAGATGTTGGAATTCTACGCCCACAAGTGATGATCTCGCTAAACATTATCAAGAAAATATAAAATGGCAACCTATGGACATCTGTTGGTACTGTTTCTCTAATAGGTGATACAAATGTCAATGCCAAAAGATGAAGCAAATAAAGTCAGCTCCTATGTTGACACAAACAGAAATGGTGAACTAATGCTCAACATAGAATGGATTCATATTGTTGAAAACACAGCTTTAAAAAAAAAAAAAAAAAGTTTTCACATCTTAACCTTTTTATTTAAAGTCAGAAAATATCTAGCTTGTAAGAATTTTTAGAGAATGATTTACTGATATAAGTCTGACTAATTAACCCATAGCTGGAGGGAGGGGTAGGTTTATACCCTTCCCAAGGGTATTTGCAAGTGAATATAACAAACCCAACTAGAATTGGAACTCGGCTCTCCAATTTCCAATTCAAAGCCATTATCCATTTCACCACACACACATTCCAGCTTACAGCACCTGGTATTCCCAAGAGGTCACCCATCTAGGTACTGACCAGGCTCAAGGTTGCTTAAGTTTGGTGTTTGTACAAGAACCGGTGTTCCAACATGATATGGCTGTAGGCTGAGAAAGATTGGACTTTCTGCTATCCAAATGGCACTAAAGTGCAGCTCAACGAGATTTTCGTAAATAAGAAATAGATAAAGTGCAAGGACCTGTAAAGACCATCATACATTTGACAACATGTCTTCAGACCACAGAATTATCGCAGCCAAAGTTCAACTCGAGAAGAAATCATCCTCCAAGATGCATTGTAACTGGTCGGCCCTTGAAATTCCTGAGATCAATATTCAGTTGTAGTCAGTTTGAAGAGAGGAGGAGGCAATTATGCCAAATGACGAATATGAAATACAAATTTATTATTGCACATCAAGAAGCTGCAGAATAGTTCTTTCCCTATCAAGTGGGGTGGGGGGGTAAATCAAAGTGTACCATGGGAATCAGTAGAGGTTTTGGAAATGCAAGAAATTCTATATAAAGGATGCAACCAGATTGAACCAACATGCAAAAGGGGAAGAATGCTCACAAAATACTTGCAGTTACCGACCAGAAAGAACAGATCTACATTCAAAATCAAACATTCTGCAACAGCACAGCAAATTGTCAGTGAAGTAAGCAGAAAGAAAAACTCAAAATCAAAACTGAAAGTCACAAGTTAAACAGACTTCAACTTTAGGGAGGGGGAAAAAAAAAATGTCACCCGATATCTCTTGAAACTATTGTGAACAATCAATTACTAAAAAATAAGAATTTTCTGAAGATGACCTTAAATTTCTTAAGTTAATCAAAAACAAGAAAGTTGCAAGAGTTAATAGAATTCTAAAAAGTATATTGTCAAACTTCTAGTTTTCTGGACTTCTAATGGAATTTCATCTTTAATTTTGAAACATGGATGTATTTCAGCAAATATTGGCATTTTTTAAATAATTTCAATATAAAATTTCATGCGATAAATTTTTATGCTTAAAAATATACACAAAAGTAGGGTCATCTAATCAGTGGCTAGTATTAATTTAAAACTATATAATGCCTGCACATTATTTAGAATTCTAATGATTTAGACGGTCTAAAAACTAAAGCGTGCAAATCATGCACCATTGAGACCAGAAGCTTCCAACAGGAAACCTGAAACCGTTTGAGAATCACAACCAAATACAGCGAAGCCAAACAAGCCTTTCTCAAATACTGCATCAGAAATTTCAACACTACAAAAAAAAAGTTGCAACTACTCTTGTACAAACTGCACATGTACTATAAAAAAAAAAAAATCTCACTCCAATTTCAAATTACAATCTAAAAAACAAATAACCGACATTTCACGAAGAAAAAAAATATATCAAGTGGTAATTCTATTTCAACAACAAATTTATCATACAAGCTCACATAGCAAGCTCACATGTTAAATTCATTCATTCCAGAATTTATTTTAAATTCCAATTCTTAATATGCAATGTAACAAGTATAAAATAAAAATAAAAAAAAGGGAAACCTCTCTGCAAAACCATTCACAGTTAAAGGCAGACAACTTTGTTGATTTTTATAAAAATATATTCTTGCAAGCAAAATTTACAGATTTGTTTTCAAAATCCTCAAAATCTCCTGATCAGAGGCCTTGCTGTTGGACGTAGTTTATCATCTTACCCAGGACGATGAATAACTTTTGAGATAAATTAGGTGTAATTACAAGTTTTCATTATTTGAAGACATTTTAATTTTGTATCAAAGATTCAACACGAACTTGTTCTATAAATGTAGAATTAAATTTAAATTAACATGTTTTAAGAATTTTGTCCTGTGAACATCATAAAATGGAATATTATCTTGAATAAAGGACATCAGAATGAGAGTGAAAATGAGGGCAACAATTACACCTAAGGCACGGCAAGAGGCAAATAGGAAAAATATTAACAGGTATCACAGGAACACCATGAAGCAAGTACAAAGTGTACATGTACCATCAAAACCCTCCTGATATTGTAAAACATCGAAAATACTCGTGGGGGGGGGGATAAAAATGAATAAGACATCAGTGTTTGTGATTTTGCACATGACTCAAGTTATCAACAGTTTAACCACAAAAGCAAAAAATTTATTTCAAACAAGTGTCTTCACCATCAAACAAAATTCGAACAAGAATGAGAGAGATTGCAATTAATTGATGCACACCCATCCAGCCCTCTTCCTCTTGAAGAGTTTTTCTCTACCAAGGTTTCTCTACACTCTCTGAAGTGACCTTTGCCTCCTCAAACAGGATTTCTTAAACTAGATACATATCACAATGAAGGAAATGCACAGAGTTAATTTGTAACATTAACTTTGAAAACATGGGCTGGAGGCAGGCGAAGTTCCCTTTGAGTTTTGGAGGCCCCTGGGCCTTCAATTAGCAGCTGACTTGGGCCTTCTGACATCTTTCTTCACCTTCTTCCAGTCATGAATTGATGAGATACT